GTTGAAGGGTCGGTAGAGGTAAGGAGTCAGCATCTGGTTGTGGTTCTCTGCCAACTTCAAGAGGAAGCAAAAGGAGATAGGTTCTCTGCCTTGCCTGGGTGGCAAAAAGAGGTTCTTTATGAGGGCTTCTCCGCCTAGCCGTGGGGGCTAAAGGAGAGTCACGTTTGTAGTGCAATACTTGGAGGATGCCTCCAAGGAGTGGACGTAGGTCAAGTTGACCGAACCACTATAAATCTCTGTGTTATTGTTTTCTTGCTTCCGCACTTTTAATTTTCGCATTTATTTTTCTCGTGGTGTGATTTTGGTTTATGTGATTTTTGTTCTTTGTCAAAAGAAATTGTTAAAATACCAATTCACCCCCCCCCCCCCCCCCCCCCCCCCCCCCTCTCTTGGTTAGCTTGGGACTAAGTTCATAGGGCTTAACATCCATAACGAACTTTCAGTTGCAACAAAGAAGAAAATAAAGAGGCGTATGTTGATTAAACCTAAGGGTGAAATATACATACTTATTATATTCTTAACATGCTACTAAAATTTAATAAATGTTTTTTCACCTAACATATTTTATACAGGTTTCATCCGTCAAAGCAACCGACACATAAAATATGAGACATCATATGGAGCATGTATGCTGCTCCTTATATTTCTTGGAAGAAAATCCCAAAAGAAATATATAACATGTGTTTCAGATAGTTTAAGATTAGTTATTATATTATGTTACATATTTTTTAACTAAGCTAACAAAAGATTTTATGTTGTATGTTTTTTAATGCTAACAGATTTTTATTGGTTGGTCCAGCACAATTATAAAATCAGAAAGAATTTTGAGAAGCATGGGTAGACTTGCATCCAAGACATATTTATAAACATTAAAAATTAGGCGAGCAACCACTCTGAATTTGTGAGAGTGTATGTGTTGAGCTAACTAGTTCTTGGGGTAGCCCAGATTATTCCATAAGGGACCAAAATAGATAGAACTGATCTTTATGATATTAAGGGCATGGCTAATTCCCTCCATACTGGGGGCTCAGTTCCATATACTGAGCACAAGCAGTTTCTGATAAGATTTTTTAAAAAAAAAAATTTAATAATTTACTTATATATGAATACTAATATAAGTATATTGCAGAAAGTTATGTTGGGTAGAGAACCAATCACTGTTAATTGACATAGTCATACCCACAAGCAGCAAGAGGACCAGTAATGTGTTGATGAGCGAGTAATGAGAGCCTACATGAGTACATAACTTTAATATTTCTGATGACAAGTGTAAATTTCTTAATATTGTATTAACTTTTATAGGACAAGTATACAGTATTTTGAGATAGCCAGTCAGGAGCAGGCGAGAGATCTTCTAGGGGATCAACAGAGTATTCTGACTATTACACTTGGTCGCAAAACGTAGGAGGAATGAATAAAGGATGGTTTTATGGTTTATGCTCATAAGCCTATATGTATATGAGGGGTAGACATCTGGTGACTCTAGCTTATCAACAAGTAGCCAAGAGTTGTTGTACAGCCAACATGTAGTTGCCCTTGCAGCCGAGCTAGAGCAAGTCAAGAAATCACAAGTTGACATGCAAATACAGATGCAACAAACTCAAATGTTGGATGAGCTGCTGAAATTGAGGGAGTTGTTCACTGGAAAGCAAGCAGCATCAGCCTGAATTTTTGGCGGTAAGTTTTTGCCAGAAATTTTGACGGATAAATGACCAGCACAAATGACTAAAAACTAATGTGTCATTCCGATAAGCCCATCGAAAATATTTTCGATGGAACTTTTCAGCCGAAAAAGGTTTTCGATGTGCGTCATACAATTGTTTGAAGTTTTGCCAGAAAAAAATCAACAAATAAGATTAGAAAATGAGCTCAGGCAAATATGATTAAAAAATTCGTCGTGCGTTTTACCATTGATTGATATAATCGCTAACAACGCGTTTGAACAATGTTTTATTATTATGCAGGCAAGTTTATACATGTAGGCAAGTTTATACTTCTATGGTTCAACAAAATTTGAATTCGGACATCCATGGTTTGAATAACATTGAAAAATGTGTGAAATCATGTTGAAAATGTTCAATAATCATTTGATAGGTTCATATAAGATTCCAACTCATGTTTTAACAAAATTATGAAGATAATATTTGATACTCTATAAAGATTTGCCTAAACTCTCCATCAAAGTAATTTAAAATATGAAACACAATGCATCATTTAAAATTTAAAAAACACATCTTACAAAGTCACTTATGAATGAAAAATAAAAAAAGATACTCTATTGGTGTGGTAGTTTGATCACCTGAGTAACAAAATTAGGAAAGACGAACGACAAAACTTCTAATAACAATAAAATAAAGTTGAAGTATGAAAAGTGAAAGATGTCGTTCTACCTATAATAGAGATATAAAATTTGGAGGGTAATGATCTGAAATGTACTTTCGAATATATTTTTCATATATATATACTATAGAGTTCACTAATGAATAAAATCGTATTCGTACATTGATTCATTAATAAACGAGCTTATAGAGCTACTAATCAAGCTAATGGCTATTCGAACACAGTAAAAAACGAACAAGTTCTCTTGACAACCTTAGCTCAACGTTGGTTTGAAAAAAGTCTACACTTTAACCATCTTTTATGACTTCTTTTATATTTTAAAAGCAAAATAAATCATAAGGTATTAGACTTAAGTTTATTATATTAACTAAATAGCTTTCTCAAATCGCTAGAACATATGCACTTTCAATTTTCTTTTTCAAATAAGCCCTAAGTCAGAACTTTGTAAGGTCAGTAAACTTTGGGAGCTGGGATGTTTATTAGTTTGGCCATGTCTGTCCCTTTCGGATTCGGACGCAATAAGCGTAGTACTCCCAAAACAAAACAGATTCATCATTCATCATTTGATTGGTTGCATCTGCCACCCATTTGAACCATTGGGTCACCACTTGGTCGAGTTGCCTGTCTCCAGTACGAAGTTAATCCAAACTTAAAAAAAAATTCTTTATAAAAAATGAAGATCACTTTGTTTTGATATGACTTCAGCCTTATTTAAACAACTTCATGAGCGTCTCCCACTCAGTACATCGAACGCTTTTCAAATGATTTTGGCAACAGATTCATAAAACATTTTGCATATTTAATATTTCAATAAGAGCAACATCAACTTCCTTCTATCAAACAATACAATATGAGAACAAAAGCACACAAATCAGAACTTCCATATAAGAACTAAATACATTTTTATATTAAACCATTCTTATTTCGTAACTTCAATAGTCAAAAGCTGCTATACATCATAAATTTAAAGTTAAATTAATATACATATAAATTTTCCACATACTTCTCTAACATTACAGCTCATTCATATGACTGTAACTTCTACTTTAGAAAACATTACACAGATATCTTAGAACGCATATAATTTCAGTCTAATAGCTGGTAGACCTTCCTCTGGAGCGAAGGAACCTTATCAGATCAGCATAAACATCATCTTTAGCTTTCACGCTGAAGACAAAATCGATATGGCCGTAGGACTCGATGTACAGTTGTTCAGGCTTGGATTTCAGTTCCTTTATAGTGCGTTTTAGATCAGTAAGGTCTGCTAATGCATCATTACCTCCATAGCCAATCCATAGTGGGAGAGATTCAGGTATATCTCCTAGGTTGAATGCAGGGGGATGAAGACTGTGATAGTGTTTCAGATTTTCCCACCAGCCAAAGTCATACTTCGCAAATGTGCCTTTCCTAATCACTGCCAAAAGATGAACATGTTATTTCATAGAAGAATATCTCATAGTTTTCTGTAGCAAGGAAATTTCATAATAATAGAGTTTTCACATGTAAGTTCGACAAACATGATCAATACGTAAATCGCAGGATACGAAGAAATAGAATGGGACATTTTGGGTAGCTTCTAGAAGTGTTTGAGAGGCATCAATGAATTAGACACTCTAGGATGGACAGGCATATAAGCACCACTATGTCATCCTTAGTATCAAAGTGAATAAAAAAGCACGAGAATCGTCAGTTTGTTCGATTAAAGCCTCGCTTGAATTGGTCAATCTAGGAATAATCAAGCTGAGTCGATCCAAATTAACTATGAACCTTGGTACGGATGCCATGATAATGAGGTGGAAATCGTCCATCATAAGCTATATTCGGAAGGGTTTCAAATATAGTGATGATCTTCTTATCGTTTCTGCCGGAGCCCTCGGTGTCATTCCGTGGGTGAGTCTATCCACACCTCACACAACACTGGGGCGTTGCAAAAGTAGATCAATGTGGAGTGGGTATTTGCTTTCAGCCCTTTCACAGATTGCTCAAAAGAGAGGTTATTTGCCTGCAGCACCTAAGATCAAGGACCAAAGTTTTATGGATGGTAAACATAACAAAAATGTTGCAATAACTGAGTTACTGGGGCTGACATGTTTGGGATATGGCTGCAGCGATATGTTAAAGGAGACAATATATTCCCGCTGTTAAAAGTAATGGAAATTGAAGTAAAAGTTCACAAATGATATTAAAATGAGAGTAATTTAATAATATCAAACAAAATTTTGCAAAATATAATTTCCTAGTTGACTTATTTCCTCTGTGTACACAACTAATTTCACGTACAATAGGAGCAGACTGAGATCAAATATTTTAAAATTTTTAATATTTATATAAAAAAAATAAATTCTTACTTCACTGCAATTAAAAAGATAAAAATGTCAAACAAAATTATTTTTGACGACGAAGCAGTTGTTATATATGAAGTCAATTGTTGTACTCAAGGAAATAAGAGAAATAGAATATTAGAATTTGTAAGAAAATTTAAAATTATTAAAATATCCTTATTTTTAAGGATATCTGTTAACTTTAAATTCAATTTTCATTAATTTTGATAGTGGGACTATTTTGACTCTATTTAAGCAGTCTATGAACCAAAAATACGTCTTGGTCTCTAAAAAGCTAAAACAACTTATTTACATTGATTATGTTGGGCTTTCAACCAAATGTCAAACAAGGGCTGATACGTGGCTATATGACAGAAACGGACAAAAGTAGCCTGACCATGAAAGTAAGTTCCCACCATCATTAGAAATATGTTTTCAGGTAAACGGCAAAGTACATTAAATGAACCAAGACAAGAGCAGTGGAGGATCTTTGACTAATTGAAAGAATCACTAGATCAAATATGCCAAGAATCATATACAATTTATGTTGAAGGTTAGATCATCCAGGATAGCAGGGAAAGCTGAAACTGGCAGGAGAAGAGACACGTTAGGCATGTGGAAAGCAGTAATGAAAGGCGTACATTATTAAAAAACTTATACTGTTTTTTAGCATTATTGGCAGCAAAAATTCGCGCCCCAGCCTCTTTTGTTGACGAGGAGAGTTTTAACAAGTTTATGTTCTGAGATGAATTTTTAAAAGGTAGATTAGGTTTTGATAAGATACTATTTAGAGATTTCGCCCTCATTTAGCGAGGACTATGATCTAAGTTCTTGTTTCTTATAGGCACAAGCCCTTACGGTTAATTATCCTTCCCGATAACGAGAGAGAATTTTTTACTAGTCATTAAATAGGTCACACAATAATTACCTAATATATAATAGAAGCAATTTTAGAGTTTGAATCTGATTTTGAATTTTGGAGTTTATAATTTGAAATTTATCACCATACACTTAAAGTGAGTGATGGGAGAATGATGACGGGTCCGATGAAGATCCCATGGTTCTGTCATCCATGAATCCCTAATCTACTTAGTCAGAGGACGTAATCGACCCAACCTGATAGAAGGAACCTTGTTGGCAGTCATGAGTTGCTTCGTCCAAGTATACCTCGTAGATTTGGGGTGGATGTTTGTCTAAGGTGATGAATTTAAGTCAACCTTAGTTAACAAGGTATTCTATAGAGTGCACAATACAATTCATTACTCAATAGGCATTTAACCATTATTAAGGAACATACGAGCTTTGGTCGTGATTATAATATAATTGTGTCATTTTACAACAAAATCATCTGCTCATAAGGCATATGTCACGTCCCTACTAGCGATGAATCAACTAAAAATGAATTGCAGTAATACATTCTACAAAGACGTCTACTCTTTGTGAGTTGAAGTTATTCTTCAATTCATTATCCTCACCAAATCATTGCAAAGTGTGGATGGATTTTAATTTTAAGTTTTTGGTAATTATATTTCATTTAAATATTTTAAATTTGATAGATATTAGATTTTGAAATTTTAATAGGCTTTGAGAATTGGCTCATCTGGTTGAGATTTACATTCAACATGGCCATCATCGGGGTGTTGTTATAATTATTTTAAATATTTTTATTTATTAGAATTTTGGAGGCACTTAAAAGATATGATCCCCTTTGGTTGAGATTAGCTTTCAATACGATCATCATCGGGAAGGCTTTATAATCATTTCAAATATATTTGTATTTTATGTCAGGGTTCGAGATATTTTGAAAGACAGTTCTCCTCCATTTGAAATTTTATATTAACATGACCATCATCATGATTACTTTATTATCACTTTAAATTATTTGTATTTTACATTAGGATTTGAGTATTTTGAAAGGTAGGATCTCCTCCAGTTGAGGTTTTCTATCAACACGGCCATCATTAGGGTGTTTGAGCACTTTTAACAAATCTGCAAAGCATTCTTAGATCTCGTATTTAGGAGCTTGGCGTAAAGATCAGAGCACATGCAGAAATAGTTCCAGGTGTTTAGGCATAATAAATTTCACATTTCCTCACTTCATTTGTATAAATAAACATTGAACATTATTCTTGCATAATATATTAGCATTTGCAAATGCATTTATATTTTAATCACATGATGCATTTTAAAATTGCAATAGATTTGAAGTAACTCATATGATATATCTTATAATTGTAATATGCTGAGTGTAACGTTCAAATTTGAAATTTGCTTGATGGTGTGGATGATTTGCTTATGCAATCACTATTATTCATGATTTGAGAGTAGCCTAAGCAGTTTGCTATTTCCAAGCGAGATCGTCCAATAGATCTGGCTAGGATGGGGCTTATTGCTCCATTTAGGAGTTGCTTGTTAATTTTATTTTGGATGGGGCTTATATCTTAGCCTAGGAGTTGCCCAATAATTTTTAGTGAGAGCAGGACTTATGCTTCACTTAGAAGTTGCCTCTAGATTTAATTTGATGTAGGACTTATGACTTCTCTTAGAAGTTGATTGTAAATTTAATTTGCGATAGGGTTTATTGCTTCACTTAGAAGTCACCTATTGATTGAATTTAGTTTGAGATAAGTCTTAATGCTTCATTTAGAAGTCACCTATTGATTGGATGTAGCTTGAGATAGGGCTTATTGCTTCACTTAAAAGTAGTCTAGTAGTTCAACTTAGGGTTTGTTACTTCAGGTACAAGTTTTTCTAACAAATTGTTTAAAGTAGATCTTACTACTATTACAAGTTGCCTTTTGATTTAGGTTTGTTTAACTTAGGAATAGTTACTTTGGTTTTTGCTTTATCCTTGCTTTAGCTGCTTTCTTTTTTCTTTAGCATTGTTGTTTTAGCTCGAATATTAATTTGTAATTGTTTATTTGCTTGTAGATATTGGAGCCCGCATCGATTTTAGTTTTAGTTGAGTTTGTGTATGTTTAAGTTTGAGTTAGTTTGGACTGTTATACTAGAAATGATTAGTGTAAACATTTTCTTATTTTAGTTTAGTTTATTGGTTTCAAATTAATTAATTAATTAAAGATTTAATAAATAATTCAAAATTAAAAGTATTTTTTAATTTTTAATTAATTATTTCTTTATTTAGTTAAGTTTTAAATTAGTCACATTTAATTAATTTCTCTAGAAAATGTTCATTTTCTAATTTAGCTTGCTCTCATTTAATTAAACAAAATGCACAATTAATAAAGTGGCTCTCCCCTATTTTTTAAAATATTCCTTCCTTCAATCTTTTCTTTCTTTTCATGGAAATTTGGCAGCCTCCCCACCCCGTAAAGAGAGGTTGGGATGGCAGTTGCCACTATTCATCATAGACGGATCAAAGATACGACGACGCGGGGTCTTCGGATCCAATATTCCTGATCGGATCAAAGAAACAATGGCGCATATCTTTAAATAGACAATTTATGTTTCTTCTACTTTTTTTATTTATTTAAAACATATTTTACACGACAAGTGTTGGGTTGATCAGATCGGGTCGCGCAACGAGTCGGATCGAGCGTAGAAGAGTGAGCGTGATATGGTTTCCGCATGCAGGATGGAGAGGCGAGAGAGAGACAAGCTCAACTGTGGCTGAGGGAGACGCAAGGAAGGAGTCAAGCTCGGCCTCCTTACATGCAGCTAAGGGTGAACAAACAGGAGGGGGACTTCGGCCTGAAGTCTAGCGTGCGACACTCATAGATCAAGAGGGAGAGGGGTATTCCTGCATGCGGTTCGTATAGAGAAAATGGGATGAGCGGACGGTTCCTGCATGTGTGAGAGTTGAATAAATGAGATGGAGCGAGCGATTCAAGTGTTTGCTTTAGTGTCGTGATTGAAAGTTACATGACAAGCGGTTGTGTTGCTTGGGGAGCGATCAGTGGTCAACAAGCATGTCTTGGAATAGTATCATTTGTATGCCTATTTTGACCTAAGTTGTTTCAGGGATTTATATTATGTGAGTGCAATTTGGCCTATCTTTGGAAATATGCTATGCATTGTTTACAAAATAAGCTACTCTCGAAGAAAAATGAACTGCACTGAAAGTGTGTCATCCATGATCGTGAAGTCGTGGATACAATGCATTTCCCACAAATTTCAGTTGTGGTTATGATAAGCTTGTAAAATAATTTCAAAATCAATGATATTTTTCTTCCTGTAGATGCTTTGAACTCTATTTATGTCATTGTAAACTGTATTCCATTATTCTTCCGCCAAATCAAATCATTTGTCCACAATCCTTCTAGTCCATGAAGCCTTCAGTCTCACTTTCAAACGGTTCAAACGGCTTCCCTGTTCATCATGTAAAAACCCACCATTGTCAGCCACTAGTCACAGCCACTACCCCTTGTTGCATTACCAGCCGTCGAGCTTTATACATAACTTATTTTACTTCAATCAAACACTGAAAAGTACAATTGAATTTGTTTTGCACTTAAGCAAATAATTCTAAAACATTTCAAATATGCATTACATTTATTTTACACTGTGTTACCTTTATGCTGTGTTTTGTTTTTTCAGCAAATCAAAACAGACCCTAAGTGCAGCTGTAGGGTACATCTAATAGCCTGAAGTTATAATTTTTCAGTCTTAACTTACTTGACTAGTTATTTGTATTGACAATTTCTATCAGTTAAACAAGGCAGATGTAGAATCTTAACGTATAACAAAGTAGAAATTATTCTGTAAGGTGATCAGCAAAACACCGTCCGGAGACCAACCCAAATACATCACGTCGGCAGTATCGAACCGCGGTACCGAGCAAAGGGTGACGTGGCATATTCTAATTGGTCTTCGGACAGCGTTCGGCGTCCGCACAAAATAATTAATCATAACAAAGACACATAATGTTTGTTTGATACAACTGTGCTGATGTGTTGTATGAATAAAATAACATACATTGGGTAAATAGACGAGCTGCTGGATAGGTTAATCCCTATGCTTATGAAGTGCCAGAGAATGTGCATGCAAAAAATGATTTTCTAGTCTTATTTCTCATATAAATAATTACTTCTTTTTTTAAGTAGGAAAAAAACAGTAGCTATAAAGGCTAAATCCAATCCGAGTAATTTTACCAATACAAGGAAAGCTTAGAATCATGAATAACTTGATCTGACCATATACTGCAGAGAACAGAGCATATCACTTAAAATAAGTGTCTACACTTAGTACCACAAGTAGCGATGGAAGCCCTAAACATATTAAAGAATTGAAAGGGGAATGTGCTACAATCTACTTGTTAAAAAAAAAGTATTTTTGTAAATGAGAAAATTTTGAATATCTCAGCCACATGTTTTGTGAATACCACACGTGTTTGTATCCGCATCTTGGGGATGGTTATGAAGTGGGAGAAGGTGAAATGCAACGGTTAAAAAAAAAATTCACTACAACAAATTAAGTTGGCTTTCAGAATAAAATGTTCAGAAAGTAATAATCTTCATTTTATCATTTAAAAACGCTGCTTATAATTATTTATAATGAATGCGAATAATGACAATGGATGTTGGATGTAAGCCAAATACCGTGTGCAGCAAAAGTTAACCCAAAAAAAATCACGGGATATCTGAACCTTGTTGCTTATTTTAATACACTACTTATGTAAAGATATATGAATTTAAAATATAAAAAAACGAAGCTATTGGTCGTAGAATAAACAACAAAAATGAAAGATTAAGGGGTAATATCAGGAAGATGTGTTAATTATAATTCCCTTGAAAGATCAACGATTCTCGTATTACCATATCCATCTAAAAGAGTTGAAATGCATACTTTGGAATAGATGGTGTAAGTTTTTTGTTGATGATGAATGGGGCTCGTATTCTAGATAATACTCCACACGAGATGCATTGAAACAACAATTATCGCCTGCAATATACGTAGCATTAAAATAAAGTTATAGTATCTCCAAATTTATCACTATTATTTGAGACACTTGAGACAGATGCAGAAATAACTAAATAAACTTTACCCTCAAAGATGAAAGACTATTAGGAGACAGCCAGTGCAAGGTGCAATATATCACAGCGTAATCTAATGCATCACATAGTTCTGAGTATGAGGAAAATAACTGCAAAGATAACTTTTTTAACTAACCTTGGAACTAATTGTTTTGCCAAGTGAGTTTAAGCAGATTAGATAACCTAAAATGCCTGTGCTGCAGATTGAATAAACAAGATCAAAAGTAGCACCTTTTTTTTAAATTTTTGATATTATTTAAACTTATTATCCATGTTTTTTTTTTATTTAAAACTTTAAGAGATACTAGGGCTTCATAAGCCACCTGTGACTCACACCCCATTCCAATTCTTGAAGGATCCAATTCTTGACCATTCATGTTTATGTCCCCTCCACATTGCCTCAGTGAAGCTCGTGCATTCGCTCTTCAGTTCATCTAATAATTATTTATAGCATTTCTTCCTAATATTATTTACATGTATTTTCTTTGCCTATTGTATTTTAATTTTTTGTTCGTTCACTTAGTTTAGTTTCTTCTAATTTAATTGATTGCTAGCAATATTATATTAATGCAATGCTACTTTGAGTTTATTTCGCAAGTGATTCCCTGGATTGCCTGGGATTCAGGATTATCTGAAAATAGGAAGGAACCTTTTCTCATCCAAAGCTCCATGCAAGGGAGAAGGGTTACATAGATAAGATTTTAAAGTCCACTGTAAGGTAAGCTATTTAAACTTTTGACAAAAATTCATGTATTGCTTGCACAGAGTTTGACGAGTGTACTGAGTTGCATTTTTTTAATAGAGTGTGGAATATATGTGATACTACACATAATATATCTCACTGCAAAGAAAAATATTTAAAATGTTACACCTACTCATATATAATTTTACAGAGACCATAGATACATAGGTCAACAGATAGCAAGGAATGACTAAATTATTCTATAAACATCTTTGTTAATACTCATTTAGTTCTGAAAAATAATAAGCTTAGAATTAGTTCGCTATGTTATGGAGGTTAGATTGCACTCTAATATCTACCTTATAATCCTCTATGTTATAACCATTGTGATAATAATCTATTGTTTCAACCTTGTAGTTTACTACCTTATAGATATTGGCTATACTGTTTTATTTATTGTATGGTAAACCCTAGTCGAACCTTATTTGAACCTTTTTTCTAACCTTTTGTCTGAACCATATTCAAATTTTATTTGAATCATGTTCGAATTATGATCAAATCATATTCGAACAATATTAATGTTCGAACTAGATTTGAACTATGAGCTAAACCAAGTTCAAATTAAAATTTGAGTATAAACTAGTTTAAACCAATTTTGTTCGCAATGAACTTTAAATAAGTATTCAGTAGTTATGAGGGGGGCCATTTTGGTCTGAAATCAATTTCTTGACATACTTTTTCAAGAAAATAAATAACATATTTAACTAATTTCAATTATTAAGGAGCATATAAGATCATATTTTCCTTTCAAATTCAATTATGATGTCATGCTCTTCTCTATTACATCACACCCAGTAATAAGTATGGGATTTTATATGTTTGGAAATAAAATAATTTAAGAGAAAATCTAATAATATGACATCTAATCAAATCTAACTATATCATATTCAAATGAAATAAATATTTGATTAAATCAAATTATATAAAAATGAAAGGAGAACTAATAAAAACATAATCAAATCAAATATGATTAAAAGCTAATTATTGAATCTAACCATGTATAACTTGTGATGATCTAATTAAAGAATAATTGATGCTTTGTGGCAATCATGCATCCGACATACAAGTACAAAAAGTGAACAAGATTGATGTTTTCAACGATATGATCACAAGTTGATCCAAACCCGGCTCAAATTGGCTCAAAGACATTGGATTTAATATCGAATAGATTAAGCTTAACAATAAAGTCCGGCTCAAGCTAATCTTGATTTGAGCTAGGCCAGGCCAGGTTTGTTAAATTCAATTCAAGCTCATTATAAGAAAAAAACAAATTCAAACTTAACAAAATTTGATCTTCAAACGCACATTATAGTACAACATACAAAAATGCATGTGTATATCTAGATATCTATGAAGCACTGACACTTCTCCTCAAAGTATCCGACATGACATGCATCCGACACTCCTTCGACACGTGTCGAACACACCTAAAACGTGTCCAATAAAAAAAATTATAAATAAAAATTGGACACCTATGTCAGACATGCATCTCTTAAATATTTTATGAATTTTTTAAATATAATTTTTTGTATTTAAAATTTTTACTTATTTAAAATATAAAATCTAAATTTCTTATTTCCTATCCACAACACCAAATCGAGTCGAACTTGCTCTCGAATTGAAAATTCATTATATCTTATTTGTTTTCTTCTGTCGTTTATCAATTATTAAGTTTACCTAGTGTTTTGTCACCACATTTCTCTCAATTTCTATTTTATCTTATTGAAAATACTAATTTCAAACAAAATTCTTTCAATTTCTATAAGTATTTCCTATCATATGCTCAATAAAAAAGTTCCAAGGCAAGATTTATTATGAGTGGAACAGAGCCAAGGTAGTTTTGGACTCGGGTAAGTTTTTGCTGCAAATATAAATTACCACATCTTAATATCTATTAAACACAATTTTCAAGGCCCAACTTAACTTTCAATACACAAATAGATTTAAGCCCACAATTAAATTAAGTGATAAGAAGGCGATACTTAGATTCAACTCTATTTCCTAATTTTTGTATTCCAAAACAATTGAGGAATTCTTCGAGATCCTTTTATTTTCTTCTAATTTTAAATTGCTTTGTTTTTACTTGATTTTTTTCTAACCTGAAAAAAGTATAGCTGACATTCTTCTGCATTTAATAGTTTCAAAAATATAAAAAACAAAATATCCGTTTACATATCCCCTTTGCTCCCTCTCTTCGCACCGCAATCGCCGCCTTTGCCTCTAGACTTGGCCATACCTCCACCAGCCCTACCTCCTAACTCCCCCACACAAGCAACTTCTTCTCCAATGCCTATCCCTTTCCTGCCAACTCCATAGTTGTCAAAGACACTAACCTCCCAACGAATTCATCTTCGACATCAACCTTTACCATTGTTGTGTTACCTTCTTTCCTACATTCCCAACACCAACATCTCCACTCACTAGTTTCACGTCTTACCCCTTTTGAATCAACGCACAAGCAACAATGATGGTTGTGTTGTCAAGGAAGCTAATGTTGAGCTTTAATGTGAAAGATTCGACAAATGGGCCAAAGGTGAGTTTTTCACGTCGGACAATAATGTATAAGAGAGATGGTGGTGTTGTTCTTGCAAAAGAGAGGTAACATTGGTTCTCAAGTTTGTTATATGGTGAGGGGAGTCAAGGCTCAGGTTTTGGACATGGAAATATTAAAAACACCTAAAAATTATTTTTAAAACAAATAAATTGTTTTAAAAGTTTTTAAAACAAATAAATTGTTTTAAAAGTTTTTAAAACAAATCAAATTGTTTTAAAAGTTAAAAAACAAATATAAGTATAAACATATTTTGTTATTTTTAAACATTTTTTTAGAGATAAAATTAATTATCCCAAATAAGGCTTAGGTAAATAAAAAAGCATGTTGGCACCCTTGTTATACCTTTCTTTTGAGGAAAACAAAGTGGACCTAAAATAACTGTTAGGCTATTATTATGTGGATACAAGAGTTAATCATAATGCCATATGGTAAGACACACCAATGCCAATGATGAGGCCTATTACGACGATGGTAAAGGCGATGACCGTTGGCAACGGCCACCTAGGCAAGCTCACAGACATCGCAATGAAGCTGTGTCCACCACTGATAGTGGTGGCCATTCCCAAGGTGAAGATGAGGTAGAAGAAGTCGAGGAGAATCTGCCCAATGCTGAAGACGTCACGCTTGCCGATATGCAATGACAAATAAAGCAGCAAATGAGAGCCAAGGATAAAGAAATCTCCCAATTGAATGAGAAAATGACTGAGATGATGGCTCAAATGACGGCGATGATGCAGAGAAATGTTGCAGTCGGTCCCATGCCCAATCCTCCTCTGGATCTTCCAAACTTCCAAGTGCCACAAGTATCAGGAGTAAGGGGAGCTTCATAAGGTGGTCATGAAGCCCATAACATCGTCCGCCAGCGCACCCCACAAAATGTTGCAAGCACTTCCGAACCTATGACTGCTGCACAGTTGGAAGGAATCATTACCGAGAAGATCAAGGCTATCATAGCTGTTGACTAATCGGAGAAGTTGGTGGGCAAGAAGTTGGTGGGCAAGGGTTGCCCGTATCCTACTGAATACGACTAAGTGTCATACCCAAAGGGTATTCGGTCCCAAAGTTTCATACTTTCAATGGTACTAACAACCCCAGGTAGCACTTAACACAATTCAAGGGCACCTGCGAGAATACAGGAGGAAATGACGCCCTACTCTTCCGGTAGTTCGTTAACAGTTTGACAACAACTGTTTTCGAATGGTATGCTAAGTTACCAAATGACTATGTAAAAATTTTTGCAGAATTAGAGGCCATGTTTGTTGAGTTTAGTAAATAGGTTGTTAGACCTAAGTTAATGTCCCAAGGCTACCAAGAGGGGGGTGAATTGGTAGTTTAAAAAATTAAAACCCTCTTTTAATTTAAGTTGAACCGAAATGAAAATTTTCTTTTAAGTTTTTTGTAAAAAACGTTTTTCAACCACAGAGTTTTTAAAATCAAAAATAAAATGCGGAAAAGTAAAAACAGTAAAGTAAATGACACCAGATTTATAGTGGTTCGGTCTAAACCAGACCTACATCCACTCCCCAGAGGCACCCTCTGAGTATTGCACTAATACCAATAGTGACTCTCCTTTTGCACCCACAGCAAGGCGGAGAAGCCTTTACAAACACTCTTTTCACCACTACCCGGTACGACAGAGAACCGTCGTCCTTTCACACTCTCCTAGTGTGGGCAGAGAACCCTTCGGCTGTTCACACTCTCCAAGTATAGGCAGCGAACCCTTCGGCTATTCACACTTTCAAAGTGTAGGCAGCGAGCCCTTCGTCTGTTCACACTCTCCAAGTGTCGGCAGAGAACCGAATCTCCTTGGCAGATTCTTCTCACAAGAATCTAGAGGAAGAAGGAAAAGAGTGAGTATCTCAATTCACAAGTAGAGATTCTTACTTTAACTCCAGTGAAGCCTTCACCACTCAGTGGTATAGGAATCCTCCTTTGAATGCACTCTCACACTCTCTCCTTTGCTATTCTCTCAATAGGCACGACGATCAAATGACAAAAAGATTGGATGGAGTCTAATTTAAACTATTTATACAAAAGACAAGAAAAACCGCCAAAACTGAAGTTTTCAATTCTGTACGCAGTGGATCGTCCCGTACGATCGTGGATCGTCCTGGACGATATTACTTAAACGCCTTGAAACGAACCTGTTTGCATATGTGTACGAAATATTTTCGTACAAGCTGATCGTCCCGTACGAACTAAGTTCGTCCGGTACGAATAGTTATTACAAGGTCGGTTCCAGAAACTGCAGAAAAACCGTCCTAAGTCGGTTGTATCGTCTGGACGAAATTGGTTCGTCCGGACGAATTTTTTACAGAGAACAGATCGTCCTGGACATTTTTAATTTCGTCTGGACAAAAATTTTGCAGAGACCAAATCGTCATGTACGATAATTTAATTTCGTCTAGACGAAAATTTTACAGAGACCAGATCGTCCTGGACGATATTTAATTTCGTCTGGACGAAAATTTTACAGAGAGCAAATCGTAGTACGATAATTTATTTCGTCTGGAGAAAATTTTACAGAGGACAAATCAATCCCGGACGATTATTAATTTCGTCCTGGACGAATAGAACTTAGAAAAATTTTTCAATCCAGTTCCTATTCGTTCCATGTGCTCAATAGGAGATCACTGTCTGATCGTCCTGTACGAACTAATATCGTCCCGTACGATCAGTATAAATTTTATGATCTCCTTATGTGTGTGTGTGTGTTTTTATTCACTCAATTACAATCACTCCCTTTCAATTTTATTTTAAAGAAAAGTACAAGCTTCAAATTTCACAAAGTATCTCATGCTGAATTTTATTTGAAGTCTTCGTAGTCTGGAGTTCGATTTTCCTGAAATGTTAGTACACACAAGAGCAAATACAAATCTTCTAAAATTGTTAGGAGATAACTACACATTTGAACAATAATGTTTGGAATCATCAAAACTATACAAGTTGCAAAAATGTAAAGCATGCAAATAACAACTATCTTAACAATGTTTGTGAAGGATTCACTAGTGCGACCGAGAAGATTACGATCGCCGACCTCACTTTAGATAAACGAAAGAAAAAGGAGTCGGTATTGAAATATATAACTCGCTGGCGCAATTTGAGCATGAAGTGTAAGCAGCAGCTCAAAGAAGAGCATGTCGTGCAGTTGTTAATGGGCAGCATTGATGATAAGATGTAACCCTTTCTATGCATAGTTATAATTACCACATTTCAACACCTGTTGGATACGAGGCGGGTAATCCCCATAGCGCTCATGTAGCATGAGGGGGGCGAAAATTAAGTACCCATACATGGGGAAACGACTATGCTTTTTTCAACAAGTGCTTGGAGATCCTTAAACGCTCATGTAGCGTAGCGGGGATTGAAGAAAATGCAGCCACAGTGTCTACCGGTATCTACCTGAAATGCTCATGTTTCGTGGAGGGGAGGCTAGCCTCTCAAAATTTCCCCAAAATGGGGGAGACTCCGGGACTGCCGAAATTCCAACTGAAGATACAGTTTGGAGAATTCAAATTCAAACTTCTCCTCCTCTTCACCCATTAAATCTGAAATTAAATTTCAATTTTTGGAATTATCTCCCTTCCTTTATCTACACATAAAATCATGAGCTATTTCCCCTTTCCCTCCTCTATGGCCGATCCCCACTACCTTTTCTTCTTTACTTGGAATTAGTCCTTTTAACTCCCTTCCATCAAACATCGCTTCCGAAGGATTTCCACCTCGCAAAACTGCTGTCCAGATTTCCTGGACATATAAAACATTGTTGTCCAGAAATTTTGGCACAGGCCGTTTGTTGTCCCGCCGTCTGGAAGTCCTTTGTTTGTTGTCCAGAAGTTCCCCAACCCATAGTTTGTTGTCCACTCATGTATGGCTGATCCATAACATGATCACGGCTTCGTTTTCGACGATCAAGGGTTAACCGACATTCTCCGATCTCTGTTCTTTGACATAGACTTTGAGAACGACCACTCCGTGGAAGAGTACGTGGATCGAATCCTCTTCTACATTGCAACTGCTATTGATCAATGACAACCTCCCGTTCAGTGGCAACTCTCTTCCGAATCCTGACAAAGGTGAACTCTCTCCCGAATCTTATTCCTTCCAACTCTTCCTCAATTGTGGCATCATAAAGATTATGCAAGATTTCTCTGCCTAACCAATTATTAAGAATGTGAGTGAGGGATTCTAATAGTGACTAGTCTAAATGTTGATTGAGGGATTTCCTTTGAAAACCTCCATGTAATGCATAGCTTGATTTGAATTAGTTATTTTGGTGCTCCTAAGGAATATCGTGTAACCAATTGCCTAATCTAATCGTCTCTTTTATATTTTCAATCTTTCTTTTAAAATTGCTTGAAGTTGAATAATTGTTCTTACTCTTCGTTGAGCGTGTAATTTCATAATTAAACATCAACCTACGCATATAGTTCTGCATCACTTTTCCTAAATTTCTACAAGCACTTCCTAACATCTCTCTATGCGGCTGACGATATAAGTAGATCTTACCAAACCATGTAAATTCATGTGCCCATTTTCTTGTGTTTTTTGCAAGCTTCATTATTTTTTAGGTTTCAATCGCACTTATTATTGTACAAGCGAACCTTGTTCCCAACATGATATCTAGAATTTTGACCTCCATTTACCTGTTTCTAGCAGCTAGAATTTGGATATGCAAACACGTCACTTAAGAGAGGGGCGCAGAACTAAAAGCATAAAAGAAAGAAATCCAAATAAAGCAGCAACTTTGTTCACAACGCCATATAATTTACTTGGAAAGAACATAACTTTGGCCCTATAGAAGGATAGATAGCAGATTCATGTTACTAACTTTGTATTCTCTTCAAATTGAAGTAAGGAAATCCCATTGGAAGCAAGAAGGAATCTGAGCATAAAACAAAGCCAAGTTAAATGTACCTGTTATTGCACCGAGTAGATTGCCGCAATCCACATGTCCATCACATAATGAATCCATTATTTCAACGCCTATTTTACTGCAAATATTTTGGGCCAGTAGAAGGGAACTCTTGAGCTTATATTTTTAAGAAACATGTTTTCACTGGGAAGATAAAAACAAACCTTCGGAAATTTAGCTGATGAATGCCTAGAGAGAGAAGCATCTGGAGAACAATCAGGGACAATAAATCAGAAACCACAAAAGGACGTTTTCTACTAAATTTTCTTTTTATTATGTTCATCAGCTGAACAAGATGATGATGATGATACCTGATCAAGATGCATGCTAACAGCTCTAAGAACAAAATTGGAACTGATATGATCTAGATAAGATATTGGACACAGAAGTGCAGATGCTTCAACCATTTTGACCATATCTGGCATTGTAAATGCAGCTAATGCCATGATAGTCCCCTGAAGAACAGCAGACATAAATTTAAATTAATAAAATGACACTAAGACCAAAGAATATTTTGGTATGGTTATGATGCTGCAATCACTTGCTGAAATTGATTAATTAACTATTTGACTGATTAATACCTGTGAATGGCCTATATACAAAACTTTAGAATTTGTTTCAGTTTGTACATAGCTCAACATAGCCGCCAAATCATACTGAGCTAAATCCTGCCAACTCCAATCCCAAAATGCCTGCAAATAGTATCCATAATCATGGTATTATATAACTGAGGATATTTGCGTATTGCAACATGAAAAACTTAATACATTAATTTGAACCAAAATAAAAATCAATAAGAGATACACATACACGCTCATGCTCAGATAAAGTGATGTGCTTACTGCTCCAGCGTGTGCCACGCACATTTCCAACCCACACATCAAAACCATGATCTGCAAGTATGAATCCAAGAGACTCATCGACAGAATTTAGAAACCAAGTATCACCCCCCTGTACAGTATAGAAAATAAAAATATGAAAACTATGTCAAAACAAGCCAAACAAAAAAGCTACCTGCAAGTTCAATATTTGGTTAATTCAAGCATTTAAGGAGAGAAAAAAGAATCATGAAATGAAACATGTGCAAATAAAAATGAGATCACACTGCATTATATGAACCTGGAAGAGGCCATGTTGAAGGAAGACAGGAGGACCATTGTATCCTCTTAATGCACTTCGCCCATTTGAAATACGTTGCAGAGTTAGTAGATAGCCATCCTCAGTCTGAACCTGCACATCAAATCAGCATTACATGAACTCATTGAATTTCAATAATACACATTTCATCATACAGCTTTAGAATAGGAAACAAAAATTTCATTAGGTTACAGACAACTTGCTACAAACTTGAAAACTATAATTTTTCTAGTCCAGCATGTGAATAAACTTAACCATTTAAAATTTAGCAATCTTCATAATGCATGAATTCCAGGCCTGCAACTTCATATTGAATGTTATGTCAATATTTATCTAAACCACTACCTCTGAAGATATAATCTGTTATACACACGGTTGTCATATATGCAAATCAAGGATAACTAACAGCAATTTCATGTAAACATATAATAAACATAGCCTAAGTATCTCACAAGATTTGATTGAACAGGATTGGCTACAACAACAACAAGTCTTTATCCCACTACGTGAGGTCGGCTACATGAATCCTTTTTCTCCATTGTATCCTATTAAAAGTCAAATTCTCGTTTAAATCTAATAAAGAAAGGTCATTCCTAATATTTTCTAACCAAGTCTTTTTAGGTCTACCCCTACCTTTCTTAACATAAATCAAATCTAATACCTCTACTCTCCTAACCGGGTCATCGGAAGGCCGCCGTTTTATGTGACCAAACCATCTAAGGCGACTCTCTCTAATCTTATCTTCTACTAGAGCAACTCCAACCTTTTCACGTATATGCTCATTTCGTATCCTATCTCTAAGGGTAAAGCCACTCATCCACCTGAGCATTCTCATCTCTGCCACACTTAACTTAGTATTATGCTTCTCTTTTAATGGCCAACATTCGGCACCATAAAGCATTGCAGGCCTCACGACCATCTTATAGAATTTTTCCTTAAGTTTGAGGGGGGCATTTCTATCACATAACAAGCCCGATGCACTCCTCCACTTCAACCATCCAACTTGAATTCTGCTGATAATATCCCCATCTATTTCACCATCACTCTGAACAATAAATCCAAGATATCTAAAACGTGTACTCTTATGAATGACTTGATCGCCCAAAGTCATAATCCCCTCGCTAGGTCTATTACTACTAAAATTACACTCCATATATTCCGTTTTAGATCTAACGGGAGGGGGGATCAGATACTCAAAGCACTTGCATTAACTACTCCTATTGCATGGTTTTAGAAACTAAAACCTTAAAAAACTCTCAAGCATGGAATAAGTAATTTAAGCAAGAATTAGCAAGTCCTTCAAACTTCATCCATGTTTTGCTACAGTTCTTTAAGCTTATCGTGCCATAAATAAAAAAATGGTTAAGAATATAAAATATATAGAATTCTCTCTTCTCAACCAATTCTTTAGTCAATGTGCTAAACTTCTAACTGCCATGATGGGGTGATTTTCAAGCACATCCTTCTATAGATTTTTTAATCATATCCCACCGAGAAAAAAAATTTAGTTATCTCCTGCATGGACTTGAGTAGTATCAGCAAATAAAATGCCATTATCATCAGCCTATCCCAATAAATTGGGTTGTTTATTCAAATCCCACTTCACAATGCATTCATATTTGGAATTGAATTTGATATTAGTTCACCACAGCTCCTCATCAACCAGACTTATTATGAGTTGGATTGGGTGCATTCTAGCTTAGCTAAATCTTTTTGAAAACCTCTAACCATCTTATTGAGCAAGAACTGAGCCATGATTGAATGGATTTGTTGCCAAGCATCAATGCGGCACCAAGAAGATAATTGACTCTAATGTTGTGGCTATAGGTTAGACTTGAACCAACTTCCATAGTTGTTGCAACTACTTCCCAACATAAAAGTAAACGTTCTTTTATTATCTTAGTATCTGAAATACCGAGAATTCCGGTCAGCTCAATAGCACAAGATGTTTGTAATTAAATGGCAAGATTATAAAAAACCAGCAGTGCTTTATCTAATTAAGAATTAAATTTTCAGTAAAGTAAAATTTTTAAAGAGAACCAAAAGTATTTTAAAAAATAGAGATGACTGGTATTATCACCAATATTCAATACTACGCACAATCAACAACCAACTATGAACTGCAAATGTGCAACTTTCTCTTGTTGCAATTTTAGGCATACCAGAGAACTTGGCTCAACTTTAGCTGCATAACATAGTTATTCAAATATTAATGGTATCAAATGCAAAGCATTTGATTCAATGCTCTCTTACATAAACAAACATTATATTACATGCGTGTTGAGTATAATCTTTCTTACTTTTAATTTATTTTTGCCATCAAATTCAAATATGTAGATGTCAACAAAATTTGGCAGCCATCCACATGTTGTTCACAAAATTTCCTAATATTAAAATGTCAATAAATTTCTGATGGAGATCTGATGGTAAATCTACTTCTTAATCTTCCTCTTGACCTTTTTTTTCCCCTCTTGATGCACCTTGAATTTTCTTTGATTGTAACTTCTCTAATCAAATTCTTTTCTTTGGGTGTGAGAAAACTGAAGAGAGAGAGAGAGAGAGAGAAGTGAGGTTTAGAGAGAAAATATGAGAGGTAGTACTATGTACGGCAGAAATCAAAAGAACACCTTGGAAAACCTAACAGGACACAGAATTTCTATGAGAAATCTCATGAGATGTGTACGTAAGGCAAGAGAGTGAAGAGAATTAGAAAGGAAAATAGGAGAGCTTTTGAATAATTTCAGATAATGTAAATACGAGTTTTTCTATCCTTGGTTATAGAAATAATATTAGATTGAAAAATCAACATAGTTTAAATTTTAAATGAAAAAAAAAAAATCTAAATTCCTATAATCTAATTTAAAAAGTAGATTATCCTAAAAAAAGATAATTCCTATCTAATTTATAAATAAAGGATTATCCTATCAATGAACTTAAGATTAAATATAATTTATTGGCTAGTTTAACATAAATTCAATTAGGACTAGAATATTGTCAAGAATATGAGTTTGGGTCTTGGATGTGGGCCATATGCTTCATCAACTCCCTCAAGACAAAACAAAACTCACGTTAGAAGAGTTCGGATTATTATGTTACCTCATAAAAAGATGTAATGTGCCTTCATTAGCTCATCATAGTTGATCCATGAATATTCAGCAAGAGGTTGAATCTTCCAACAAACTAAGTATATGTGACTTCTAATGCACTCGTTATGATTTAATTAAAAATATATTGTTCTAAATTGACAACTTTTGTGATAGTGCTGGTAGGTGGAAGCACATGAACAAAATCATTATTTGAAGCTGTAGAAGCCTTACCTACAAAAAGACTACTTGTCAGGTACAAAAGGTTTGAAGGAGATATGGCATTACATCCATAAAATTTTTAAACAAATAAATTAAGCATATGAATCCAATTTTCTAAGAATTTTATAAAGACTTTACTATCTTATGTGGCGTTTTCTAAATAGAAGGGGAAATAACTTTGGTCTAATCCTAACCGGTATAAATTTTCCCTTATTAGATTCTCGCTTTCTTCTATAAGCAGATTGTGGCTTTACATTTCTCGTTTTGCTTAGCAATTTAACGGTTTGTATCATCATAAGTTTATATATATGCTCAAGATGCACAAGAATGAGGGTCTAATATAATGTAGGCAATGATATAAGATCTAAAAATTTCCTAGGTCGCAAATAGCTTCAAACGTATATTTCTTAATAATAAAAACAACAAAATTGTTGTAAGCGATTTTTTAAGAGGAAGCATTAAAAATTATTTCTAAATAATCACTAATAAAACAAATCAATTGATTACCTAGATTCTATTAACCACTTATGTTTATACACTCATAAAATGGAAAGCATATGAAAATTTCAAGCTTCCATAAAGTTCTCAAAAAGTGGCCATAAAAACAAATACAACACAATTAGAAAAAATTGAAGTAGGCAATCCATACAATCTATCCGTTACTTGGAAAAATAAAATTGTTATATATAAAGCATCAATAAATTTAGAGTAAGGTATAAGCTACGTAATCATTTAAAATATATCAACCACAATGAATGTGAAATCATGTTCATAGGAAGTTATAGGCAAACCTAACATTAAATCCATGCTTAAACTAATCTATAAAGCACTTGAGATAGATAGGAAATGCAAAGTTCATAAGATTGTTTAGTAACCTTGAGATAGATAGGAAATGCAAAGTTCATAAGATTGTTTAGTAGCCTTACCTAATCAACAAGTGTGACACTAATAATCTGATATACATAACATTTTAAGGAAGACCAGTAGAAACATGATGAAATTAATAGGAAACACTTGTAGATCTCAAGTATTTCCTATCAATCTCCATAAAACAGCGAGAAATTCTTCCAAAATCCAAGGAAAACAGTAGATGTTATTGCAAGAAATCAACTAACGGAAGAAAAACAAACAAGATACACTTGATCCTCAATTCGAGAGGAGGATCGATCTCTCCCAAATCTCTAGACGCCGCCAGAGCCCAAAGAAAACCTAAATCTAAGAGATCTCAAATTTCAACCAAATTCAAGATATCCAAACCCTAGGAAAACAAACTATTTAATGCATACAAATCAAAAGGAAATCCCTAAACAGTCCGTACATTCAAATTTCCCTCTCAAAACCCTCAAAAAAACTTCCTAAAAAGCTCTACTTGGGCGGTCGGGCCGCCCAATCTCCGCAGGAGGCGGAGATCCCGCATTAGTTGCAAAGTACCGGTCCCACGCACGGGCTGGACCGGTCTAACAATACTCCCCTCCCAAAGATCCACCTTGTCCTCAAGGTGGAAATATGCTCGTATTCCCGCGGAGGTGGTCATCCTTGAGGTGACTGAAAAACCTTACTGTATTACTGAACCAATGGTTGCACAGAAAGAGAAACATCCCCTCCATCATCCAATCTGATCGCATCCAACCTGTGTAGTCCCACCAGATAATCTTCCCCCACCTCTTGTATGCCCCTAACCATGATCTTAAGTGATGTCATGGCTTTGGATAGCACTACATCTTCGCTTATAACCACCTTTCTCCCATCCACCATTAATTCCATCGTGAGTGCTCCCCAATTTTCATT